AAGGCCTGGGATTTAATAAGGACATAAAGCAGCATGGCAGGGGTCTAGAACAGTAATAATAATGTATGTTTAGCACATTCTGCTAGTAACAGTAAATTCTAAAATGTTATGTGGCCTATAAAAAATAGATTTTCTGTCTCACACATCAATATGATGTTCCTGATGGGCAGGGGGTTCTCCTTCAAGGGTGATTCAAGAACAGTCATTTTTCAACTTGAATAGGTCACTTACAAGATCACCTACTTACAAGTATTACAAATGTGGGATTTTTATGGTCAGGAAATAACAAATATATCACTTCTGCTTCAACTCTACTGGCTAGATCTCAGTCAAATGGCCCAGCCAACTACTAGGGAGGCTAGGAAATGTAGCCTGGCTGCATAGAAGGAAGAAAATGTGTTTGGCAATCTCTTTTACCACAGTTAAGAGATGTTGGAAAATTTCAGGGAACGAAAGTAGAGTGAACATATGTGTTCTATTCATAACTGCTAGTTAGATGAGAAATAACTGAGTTAATTCTTGTTACAGCAACTGAGAAATGTGAACCATTAGTCCAAAATATTCACCTGAGTTTCTTTAAATGTAATAATTAAGTCACATTAAAAAAGTCTACACTTTTGTAATATCATATATTATATATCATAATGATCTTTTGACATAGAATTAAAATACCCTTTCATTAATAAGGCAAGTTGTCAACTTACATTCTCATTGTAGCTAAGGATACTTATAAATTTAGCAAAACCCTTCTAAATGATTACCTTTGTAGCCAATTTTCTAAGTCAGGTTGGTGGAATAAACCTAAAGCCTATGGTCTTTTTGGCCAAAAGACTATGGTAGATGTTTATGGTGAATCTTTATAAATGTGACTCTTACTGTTTTTCAAAATAGAATTATCACATTTTAGCCTAAATTCTGCCTCTCTTTGTCATTAAATGATAAGTTCACTAGATACATCCACAAGTTATATCCATCAATTATATCCTTAGGCCAAACAAAAGAGGTCACCTAACTCACTTTTGGTCCCTTAGGTAATTTACTCAGGTTCCATTATCTGACATCTAAGTCAGTTTAATGAGGGAAAAAAAAAAAAAAAAACCACCAACAATATAAATCCCAGTAGTTTGGAGGTGAATTAAAAAGCTTCCAAATCCGTACTTCCCTCAAATGTTAAATAATTCACTGCAGCATGATAGATACAAGCCTCAAGCAAAAGCTACACTTGAACAATTAAGGAAGCATGAACCAAACAAATGACTTCAGGGATAGAGAAACAAATTAATGATTTCTCAGAGTATAATACCAAATTACGTTCTCACATTAACAAGTGTGTAAAACATTCAAGCATCACCGATGATTTACTAGATCAAGTTTGATTACAGAAAATAGCCTGGAACCACATATCAGAAGTATTCCCTAAGTATAATTGTGGATCCTATACTCTTGGGTATAAACCCAATTATGTTATTAGAAAAATTTTATAGCTATTCCTTGAATGGGGTTCTGTCCTGATAAACCCATCCTAAATTTAAAATATTGTAAATTGAAAATGCTGACTGGGAGCTATGGCTAACTGTTTCTACTGAATGCATATTATTTTCACACTACAGTAAAGTCAAAAAGTAGGGAAACTATCATATGTCAGAAAGTATCTGTATATTCATAACATACACATACACTTTTGCAAAGTTCTTTTACAATTGTTCAGATTACAATGACCATCTACCAAGTTCATCATGCCTGTGAAGATAACATGTCGATACAGCTGTTACAAAATTGATAAGAAGTCTGAAACACAAGGTCCTATCACAGTGCTCTGTGTACTGACACAAGCTTTGCAACCCCTGTCGTCAGACACGGTCTGGATGGAGGGGAATTGCTCTGAAAAATCAGACTTTCCACACTAACTTATGTTATGATCTCCCTTTTTTGTATAACCGTAATATCAAAATATTCTGAGCAACTTTCAGCTTACAATTGGACTGCCTCAGCCGCACAAGGCCTGACTGCCTTGACAAGCAAGCACTGCACCAGAGTGAAAAATTCCCCTGAAGTCAAGTGACTTGACTACTGACTGATAAATAAAAGCAAAAGGGCTGTTTCTGCAAAGTCTCTCTCACTGCAGGATGGAGGAAAACCCAAATCTTATCATTCTATTATCTTACCTAGCCTTCTATTCAGCTTCTAAAGAATTACTCAAACTTCCTATTGTTTGGCCTTTAGATGTGGAAATTCATCCAGGTTGCCTGTTTTTAAACTAGTCAAGTTTTCCACCTGCTACACCTTAAAGGAATCCACAAAAGTCTTCTTGCTAGTTTTTCAGGATTCTACTATGTAGTCTTCAGATAAGGAAATTCACCTATGTCTCCTATTCAGAGATTTGATTGGCAAGGAATTTACTCTTCTGCCTCCCAGGATGACTCAGGTAGAAAAACAAAAACCCATTAAGTAGTAGATAAGGTTTAAGGGACTTCTATCTTAGTTGATCTCCACTATAGTAATATTAGTCATAAACTTTGTGTACCTATGTACCTGTTTTTAACCTTGATTGATTTTAGAATGTTATATCTCAGCAAAAGGGCAATACGACCCTAAACTGTTCTTAGAAAAAAAAGATGATTGTAATCTCTCAGCCCCAGTTCATGTGCTGATGTCATCCCACTGCTTGCTCCTAATGTATAAAATAAACCTCTGGTGAAGGCAGAGCGGGAAGACTTGCACCCGACTCCGACTCCCGTGTCTTCCCCACCCCCCTTTCCCCTTTTTTTTCCCTTTCCCCCTTTTTTAGGAATCTCCGCTCGCTGACGCCTTCCCACCTTAGGGTCCTGCCTGTCTTGCCTCCAGACACCTCAAAAGTTGGAGCTCGTCTCCCACAGTGTACATACAAGGTAATAGCATCTACACAGCAGAAATATTATAAAATGTTTTAATCCAGCTTTGAAATAGAGAATGGTAATAAGGTTTTAAAATTAAATGAGGATTTAAATTCTTAACTCTATTACTTTCTTCCTAGAAGATTTTTTTTAAAAGTCTTAATATTATTTTTAAAGACATACTTAGAATATTATGACCCTTCCTGGTAAGTTAATTTAATGTCTAATCTAATATACAAGTAAAATAAATTCTTTAATCAGCTGATACAGGGAAAATGGAATCAAGAGAAATACACATGAGACATGGAAGGAAGAGAACAAGAGCCTCAACTTTGTTAGATATGTCACCTGGAAAAGTCTCAAGATTTTTCCACTTCCAAGATTTTACTGTTAAGTTTTCTTAACAGTAAAATACAGTTAACCCTTGAGTAATAGGTTTGAACTGCATAAACTTCTGTGTCTTCTTGTAAACAGATAAAATTCACAGTATCAATAAATATAGTTCTATAAATGTATTTTCTTTTCCTGATGGTTTTTTTTTTAGCTTATATATATCTCAGAATACAGCAGTTTACTACATATGGCATACAAGAAGGTGTTCATCAACTGTTATTGGTACAGCTTCTGGTCAACAGTAGGCTATTACTAGTAGTTGAGATCTGGGACAGCAAAAGTTATACATGAATTGCCATTTTTGAATGTGTGCGGGTCAGCATCCTAACCCCTATGTTGGTCAAGGGCCAACTGTAAGTATAAGGACATCTCCTACCTACACCATTATTGTAAGGATCAGTGGAATAACTGTCATTAAATGATCAGTAACCAAAATGATCAACAACCCCGAAAACATAAATTGTTTAAACATAAATTGTTTCAGAATGAATAGGAACTGAACATGATATAGATATATAAGACTTGCAAATTGCTTTCCAATGTTTCAAGATATAGAACATTATGATCTCTTTAGCTAACTAATTTGATGACTAGACTAATCTTCAAGTAAAATAAAGCCTTGAGTTGAGATACCATCTGTAGTTCTTGTCCTCCAAATTTCAATGTGATTTTTTTTTATTCCATATTGCCTTGGCAATCTGGTTTATGATATCCCTTCAACTGAAGATACTGGTTTGGATAAATGGTAAGAGGTCTGCAAAATTATCCTAGCTGAAAAAAGAAGTCATTTGTACTTAGAAAGTAATAATCTTTGTTCACTTGTTAATGAGGAAGAATCACTGAACTTTAAGGCTGGCAAGCAACAGTCACCCCTAAATATGATAGCAATAGAAAATATTTATGGGTTATTTGCTACAAATTTTTAAAAATCAAAGATGTAGACTGATTTTTAAATTAAAATCAATAATTCAATGTGTATAGAAGTGCTGGTTTTTCTGAGGTGAGTTTTCTAGTCACTTCTGTTTTTAGTGTGGTTTTAGTTTCATGTACCAGAGTCCATCTGCAAACTCCTACTTCTTCAAGGGCTATAACATGGGTGTTAAGCACAGAACTAAGATTAAAATTAGGTGATATCCCATTATTAGCAAATACAGTGAATTTTTCCACAACAAGCTTTATTATATGCAGCAAAAATGACCACACCTTCTCATAAATCTATTTCTTAATCAGAATGTGTGGGATGTAAAATTTTATTTCAATAACTTCAGTAAAAACCTCTTTTCCATAAAAATAAGCAAAATTAAATAAATGATATAGCACTGAAGTAGACTATTTCCAAAAGTGCGGCTACATTATTATTCATACAATGATATATTTATACATCATTTTAAAACTATTTGAGTAGGCTTAAAAATAAATTCTGGACTAAGTGGTACTAAGAGACACAATGATACTATGATAAGGAGGAGGAATGGTGATGAGAATTTTAAATGCTTAAGGCAGAAATGAACGTACCACACAAATGTATATGAAACCCACCAGAGTTAAGCATGGAGCAGTTGAGATTATCAGACTTGATAAAAATAATAAAAATCCATTTTTTAACCTAACCTATTTTAGTCTATCATTGAATCAGAGAATGAACGTAGTATTAAATTGTTAATTCTACTGACTACTATTCAGTAAAAGAAAACACAATTTAAAGAGCAATGTCAAAGACTAATTTCCTCTTACCATGAATAGATCCCACTGACCATGTCATAGTTCTGACACGAAGCATTCACGCTATTGGGCCCTGCTGCTTTAGATATAAGTAGCACCACCAAGCCTCTCAACTGGAGGCTATTCCGGCTGTCATGAACAAGTCCCCTGTTAGAAAGGAAAGAAAGAAGAGGATTAATAAACTTTTACAGATGAGTCAGATCAAGTTAGAAAATTGTTGCAAGTACACCCATACTTCCCAGATCAGATAATGAGGTTAGGAAACAACTAGAGAAACCCACAGTTGCTTTGAAAAGTGAATCCAATTTTTACTTCTCTCCCTCCCCCTCCTCTGCAGAATGTCTCTGATTTATCGTTGCCTGTTAATTTTGTTTATTTATTTATTTTCCTGATCCCTTACTTGGTTCCTCTACATTACTCCTATAGACGAAGCCATCCAATATTTGTCTTTTTCCTTTCTGGCTTATTTCACTGAAAACAATCCCTTCCATCTCCAACCATGTTGTAGTGAATGACATGAGTTTATTTTTTTGATTGCTGAATAGTATCCCATTTTGCATATACACCACATCTTCTTGCACCAGTCATTTATCTTTGAATATCTGGGATGTTTTTGTATCTTACCTATTGCAAATAGTGCTGCAATAAATATAGGGGTGCAGGCATCCTTTTGAATTAATGTTTTTCTGTCCTTTGGGTAGATCCTTAGGAGTGGAATTGTTGGACCATATGAAGCTCCATTTTTAGTAGTTTAAGGAACTTCCACACAGCTTTCCATAGTGGTTGGACCAGTCTGCACTCTTACCAGCATTGTAGGAGAATTCCTTTTTCTCCACATTCTTGCCAACATTTGTTGTTGCTAGTTTTTTTTAGTATGTGCCACTCTCACTGGTGTAAAATGGTATCTCATTGTGGTTTTTATTTTCATTTCCTTGCTTACAAGGGATGTTGAACATTTTTTCATATACCTGTTGGCCATTTGCATTTCCTCCTGGAGAAATGTCTTTTTAGCTCTTCTGCCCATTTTTTGACTGTACTGTTTACTATGTTTTTGTTGAATTGTGTGGGCTCTTTGTAGATCTTTGTGATCAGTCTCTTACCAGTTCTATGGAATGCAAAAATTTTCTCCCAAGCAGTAGGGTGTCTCTTTGTTATGGTTAATGTTTCTTTTGCTGTACAGAAGCTTTTTAGTCTGATATAATACCAGCTATTTATATTTACTTTGATTTGCGGGATTAGTCTTTAAAGATGTTACTGAGATGAATGTCATCTAGTGTTTTACCTATATATTCTTCTATATATTTTGTGGTTTCAGGTCTTAGGTTCAAATTTTTTATCCATTTTGAGTTGATTTTTGTGCATGTTGTGAGGTAGTAGTCTAGTTTCATTCTTTTGCATGTGGTGGTCCAATTTTCCCAGCACCATTTATTGAACAAACTGGCCTTGTTCCATCAAAACAGGAGAGGGAAGAGCACAAGGGACTATGGTGATGGTGCACAAGTGAATTGCTGGTGGTACTTTTATGGGGAGTATACTGGAGAAGAGAAAGCTTTACTTCACAGTCTTAACTGTCCTGAAAATAAGAGGTGCCAATAGTTATAAAATGCTTACTTGAGGTAGTTGGTAGCTACTGAAATGTAAATTGTTTACCTTGGATGAAGTTATGTTTTTTGGTGATGGTTGAGTTAATAGAGATTCATAAAAAATTATTTCTGTTTCACAGGGAAAGCTTAGAGAGAATTAAAGAAGTAAACCACATCTAAATGACTTAAAAATTTGAGGGCATGTGAAGGAAGATCTTGGCCCCTGGGTGATAGAGTAAAGTATTTCTGCTAGGTTGTCCTTCTCTCAGCTTTCATGTTAGGGATGCCCCCCACCTCAGATGGTTATGTGTTTATTACCAAGGGGTTCTCACATGACCCAGGGTTTTATAAAAACAGTGGAATCACCAAATTTCCCAGTGAACATTTATATTATGCTGCAACAAAAGACTCCACATATATAATGTGTAATACAACAACTGTGAAATTCAGAACTGATAGACCTGTCATTCCAACAGCAGGGGTGAAAAGGAAAATCATTTTAGCTGCATCTAGTATATTGAAATGGGAGTTCTCAAGGCATAATACTGATATGGAAAACAGCACTCTACAGTAATAATCACAAAGTTTTAGATCCCAGAACTTTGAGGAGAGTATGAATGGAATTTATATATTTCCTCAAGAACAAACCTACTATGGAAGGAGCTGTTAAAATTCTTTATCTAAAATATGTTGTATATGCTCATCATTAACCTCATTATCATTAGGCAACAGCTCCATATTATACACCTCTACCTAGCAGTATCCACATTTCAATTGAGAAGAAACAAATTTCCAGGAAACTTGTTCTTAACCTTTCATGTGAAGCTTTCTTACTTAAGTCTGAATAACATCATGTTAAAATGCAAAGATTGGTTTGTAAAATGTTATTTATATTTTCAGTTTCATCTCCAGACAATGAAAAAGAACCAAAGCCATTTGAGACCATAGTTATGAACCTTCCAAACGATTATCTAAGTCTCAGAGAGGTCTTTAAATCATCAAGTCTAAGTTCTAGATATGCAGAGCCACTGTCTGAAATACACTACATTAAAGATGCTCTGCAAAGACTTCAGACTAATTGCTGCTGTCCAGAGATGAAAAGTCTACCTTGAAATATACAAAATGTCCTGAGTGCTGTGTGATCTACAGCCCTGGCTCATAAAGCCTGTGAGGGAAATCATTGTCTATAGTGCATTAACAGTCTAATGTAGGGAGCAAAAGCATGCAGATAGGTCATTATTTTGAAATCTTTAGTGGTTTATTGAACAAAAAAGAATAGTTTTCAAATATTAATATATAATAAATTATTACTATGCCAAAATTAAATATATTTCCTTTATTATTATTTTGCCATATTTTCCCCTCAACTCATATTTTCTTTCTTCTCTATTTCACCCTCTTCCAAAGTTTTTTCCACTTTATCAGCATACACAGTTTCTTATGTTGTCTCCTTTTTAAGGAATTACTCTCCTCACCCTCTATCTACCCAAGCATCATATATCACTGAAACACTTCTACTTTTGGAATACATTATTGAAAAGGCCTGGAAAAAAAAATTAGAACTGGTTGGCAGAAATCAAGAGCAATCTGAATAGCACCCCTTAATGGCCATTAACTTTCACCTAAGACAGTAATTAACAACCAGAGAACAGATTAACAGCTTGAGTAAATAAGATAACTGTTTTTAAAACACTTCCTTAAATTCACTTCATTAACACCCTAAAAACAAGAAACTACTAAGATAAATTGATAATGTCCAGAGCTCAAAAGTGAGCTTATCAAAAAATTAAAAATTTTTGCTCCTGAGCATGTGACACTTAAAACAGGTAATATGTTCATGAGTCCAGGTCATACTTTACCTAAACACTATGACTTATTCTCAGTGTTTCCTTTGAGGAACACTGACAAACTGGAGCACAACCAGAAAACAGTAAAATCATAGACAGTCACATAGCTAAAAACAAAACTGCTAGCTTACAGATTAGAGAGTTGATGTTCTCAAATCTATTAATCAAAAATATAGTGAGTGCTTAATGCAAATCAAGCACCAATGCTGACAGGGTAGATGATGTGATGAAGAGTACTGGTGAGCACTAGACCTACCTCCTTTCCTAACACTGGTGTTATCTTGGGGATAACACAACCTGGTATGAAAAGAATATCATTCAGGGATGAACAAAAGCTGTGAGAGCATAGAGAAAGGACAACTCACATAAACAGGGGCCAGCACTAAAATAGACCTCATTGAAACCCTAATGTTTGGAGGAAGTAGCCAGGGGACCTAAAGTTGGAGAAGGGGCAAAAGGGGATGTGAAAAGAAAAAAGACTTTCAAGTAGATACAGTATGTATAAAGGACTGGAGGAAACAGCCGTCCCCAGAGCTGACATGGCAGAAGCCCAGAATGCGAAGGAAGAGCTGGGAGCAGTAAAGTTCCAGGAGCGCATGATAGCTGTCTACGCATGTGAAAAGAGATAGACCCAGTACTACTTTAGAAATTGACACTAATGATGGCAAGTAGAGCAGCCCAACCTTGGCTCAGCATAAAGAAATGAAAAAAACAGAGCAGCCTCTGTTGATGCCGAGCCCCTTGTAAACAAACAGAGACATATAAGAGGCTGCACAGCCTCTTATGTAACGCATTCAAGAGAAGTTGGGACTACTTGAGATTTGAGTTTGTTTTTGTACTTCGTGACTCCTTATGATCTCACTTTACTACACTTAACATCTAATACCTACAAAATGTATGAGCTATAAAAACTAGAAGATCCTTTGTCATCACCACGTTATAAATGAGAGCCATGTTTACTGTCCCATAATCTTTATCATTAAAGTTTTACAAAGTTTGGCCCTCCCTGGTGGCGCAGCAGGTTAAAGCACAGCACTGAGAAGCTAAAGCCACTTCCGCTTGAGTTCAATTCCTGCCTGCCCCAGAGGAGACCACATGGCGTGGCAGACCTCTCCTGACCCGCCCGCTGCTCCCCTCAGCAGTGTACTTCGTCGATCTGCCTGTTCTGCTCCCCACTCTGTCTCTGGTGAAGCCTCTCGCCACCCCTGCACCTCTGGCCTGTACCCCAGTTCTGTATGCATAAATAAATCTTAAAAAAAAAAAAGTTTTACAAAATTTTTTTTTTAACTAAAATAAATAAAATCATTCATTCATTCAACTAACAGAGTCAACATCTTTCAGTCATTGGGCACTGTGCCAGGCACAGAAGCAATGGTGAACAAAACCAGGTAAGCTGGATTGTAAGCCAAGCTTACAATCTAGTGGCAGAGACTAGTAACAATCACACAAAAAATGTAAAATTACATTGGTTATAAATGCCACAATGGAAAAGAAAGATGATGCTGTGATCATGTCCAACAGGCATATTAACAGCCAAGAATATCAAGGATTCCTTGAGGAAGTGATGACTTAGTTGATGCTCCAGGAAAAAAACAGATGTAAACAAGAGGATAGGGAAAGAACTGTATCAGTAGCATATGAAGAAATGAGGTTGGGGCAGACAGCAATCGACCACACAAGTCAAAAAAGGTCATGGTAAGATTGCTCTTTGGTTAAA